AAAGAGAGAGAGAAACATCAGTGTGTAGCCACCTCTTGCGTACCCACAATGGGGACCTGGCCCACAACCCAGGAATGTGCTCTGACTGGGAATCAAACCTGCAACTCGGATTCCCAGGCTGGTGCTCAATCCAATGAGTCACACCACCCAGGGTCAAATCTTTTTTGGGAAAAAAATTTTTTTTTATTTTTAGAGAGAGGGGTAGGGAGGGTGAAAGAGAAGGAGAAACATCGATGTGTGGTTGCCTCTTACACACCCCCAACCAGGAACCTGGTCTGCAACCCAGGCATGTGCCCTGACTGGGAATCAAACCAGCAACCTTTTGGTTCACAGGCTGGCATTCAACCCACTGAGCCATACCAGCCAGGGCAGAATGTGAACAAATCTTAAACTTTACTCAGTAGTCTTGCTGCTAGTAGTAATCTAGAGAAATTGAGGGGTTAGATTTATGCCAGGTGGACTTGGGACTCTGCATTCTTACTGTTAAACTCCTTTTTAAAAATATTCTGGGTGATAAAAACCCAAGTAGTTATATATTAATATCTTTAGGAAACAAGGTTTTCAATGTAAGAGAAAAGATACACAAATAGAAAACCTAAGAAAGCAAGAAGAAAACTGTAATGTTACCTGACTGTCTTATATTGACTACCTCTGTCCACAGAAACAGCCCGAAGGCTGAGACACCTCAGAAGCAACATGTACCCTTAGTACCCAAGACTTGGGTTCCAAATATTATTCCTGCTACATGAACTAAGAATCCCTGGAGAAATGGCTGATTAAGTTTAGGGAAGTAGGAAAAGTAAAAAAAGAGCCTGATTCATTCTGTACTAAAAACACGAAAGTACTCAAAGACTATCAGGAGTTAGCAAAAGGACCTGAGCCAGTTTGATGGGGTCCTCACTAGCCAAATTTGGAGCAACTGTGAGAAAAAGAAAGGGATTTTAAACAAATCAAACGTCTTTAGTCCCTAGTGGAAACTCAACCCAAGTATACTGTCTTAATCATGATCCTATTTCTCATTAATCATTTGTTTTTAATTGACTCAAAGGGATACAGACTGACTTTAGAAGCTGGGCATATACATAAAATAAGGGATTAATTTACTACAAGTGGACTGTGACCACCTCCAGTGTTCAGCCAGGTTATTGTTTGACCTCTCTGGAGTGACAAGAAGGCGGAGACTACCAGTTTGATATTTTTTCCCTCTCCTTTTAGAGAATGGTAACAAGGAAAAAAAGTAAGAATGCATCCTCCATCTTTGGCAAAACTCAACCCACACAATAGATAGACTGCCAAAGGTAGTAATAACTAAATGACACAGGAGGCAATGGAGAGAGAAGATTTCTGTAGCTATAATTTAAGGGGTAAAATCCGGTTAAGTATAATTCTCCAAAGTAAGGAGCATACTCTGACATAGGAGACTAAAATCGTGTTATGACAGTGGCTGCTGGCCGTGAAACAGGACCCAGACTGATTCCAAGACCCAAGATGCAATGCATGACTGCTTCCATGACATGAAAACACAAAATAACAATGTAAGAGTTCACTGGGAGTTATGACAATAATAGAAGACAAAATAAATGCACAGAGATCAAAAGAGAAACAAAAGAAGTGAGCTCAGCTGTTTCAGGAGTGAAGGCAAACCTAAAAGGAGAACTTAAGAAACAATGCTAAAAACTCAATAGGGGCCAGAGAAAATTGTGAAAAAAAAAGTAAGCAGAAAGGGGAAAAACAGTTTAAAAGGATTAAATAAGCAAGTCATGAAAAAAGAGCCAACAAACACATAATTGGATGCCCCTGCAAATGGAATAAACACATAAATATAAAATTCAAGCAAACTTTTAATAAATATAGTTATACTGCACATTAAAAAGGCACACCGTGTTACAGAACAAAACTTTACATACTGGTCACTACAACACACATCCTAGCAACGCTGCTGAAATTCAATGATAAAGAATCTTAGGCCAAGGTACAAAAATATCAAGATCCTTCTAAGGGGTTTAAAAAATAAATCAGACCTCAGATGAACCTCAGACTTCTGTACAGCATTATCTAGTGCTAGAAGGCAGAGAAAAAATTACCTACAAAGTACTCAAGGAAAGAATACAGAAACCAAATTCTTTATCAGCCAAACTACTGCTTAAGTATAAGATATCTGGGACATGGTTTTAAGCATGTGAAAACTGAAAATATTACTCCTGTCAGCCCCTATTAAAGAAAGTCATAGAGAATTTCATTCCACTAAGTAATAAGGGAAAAAAAATCAAAGAACTGGCAGAAAGAATTCAATCTATTTAACAGAAACTTCCAGTTAAAAGTTTTTTTGAATTTCCCTTCTTTTTCTATGCCTTGAGTCAATTTAAATATCATTGGTTTATCTGGTCTTTGGGAATTTGACAGAATTCAATAAAATATTCTGGGTTTTCTGGAAGATGGCACTTGGAAATTTTTTTCTGCTGAAAATTTCTTCTACAGAAAATGGACTGTTTAAATGTTCTAACTCCAGAATTCAAAGGGAGTTAGATATCAGGAATTTATCATAGTTACATAAGTAGGAAAAATCATCTGATCATTAGGGCTTTTGTCTGTTTAATTCACTGACATATTTCTAGTGTCTAGAGCATTCACTGGCACAGAAGTATAGACATATTTGCTGTATGAGCGAATGCTGAAACTACTTCTGACAAAATTTAAATGTCCATTTTAGTTTTAAAACTCAATATTATATTGGAAAAGATAGATACTCCAATAGCAATATGGTTAAAAAAACCAATTTAACCCTGCTTTTCATTGTGTACACACTCATACCTTTTGAATTTCATCATACCATCTGAATCTACTAACTTTTTAAAGATAATTTAAAGTTAAAATGATAACACACGGTCTATTTTATGTTTGGAAGTTATGTCTCCTTGTATATCAGACAATATATCAATTACCAAAAAGTAAAGTATCCTCATTTTATTGAAGAGGGGACTAAGAATCAGGGAAGTTGAGAAACTTGCTTAATGCCACACAGCTAGTAAATAATAGAGCTAATGGTTAAAGGTAAGTCCTAGGTACTATTCTACATTTAAATGTTATTTTCTTCAGAGTTTCGTTCTAGGCCCTCTCTTGATGCTATTCGTCTCCCCTGGAACTAGATACCTCAGGCCACCTGCCAATGACCTCCAAACCCATGGTCTCTTTTAACCACCTGTTCACCACAGCCATTTGAGAGTTCCAGAGAAACTCGGTATCCAGAAACACTACCTTCTTTCTAAAATACTCTTTCTTTCCTTTCTGTCCTTTCAATGTACTTGGTCCAGTAAGGAAGAAATCAAAGTGGCATCTCGGATATCCTCCCTCTTCTACTCTGCCCTGCCTCCAACTGGTGATCAAGTCTTGTGGAGGGTCTCTGGTTTCTGATGGCTCTATTCCCCATATCTACTGATCCTTCTTTTATTTAATGAATCTCTTCTTGTTTCTACTGCCAAATGTTTGGCATCCGCAGAATCAAGAAAGACCACCAGAAAACTGTGTGCTCCTGGAAAGACTCATTATCCCACTACCTTCCCCAACCACAATTTCACAGCCTCACCTCCACTACAGCTTGGGGATCATGAAGACATATACCACCATGTCTTCATCCATAATAGTGTCATTCATAAGCATCATCAGAGACCATCCCTCAGCAACCAGACTTTATCCCTGGTTTTAGAAAAAACTCTTAATTATACCATCTTCCCATTTCAAACACCCGAACCTTCTACTGTACCCACTGGATTTACAATTCATCAATCCCCTGTATCCTCAACATATTTTCTGAATATATCCTTACCTTCATGTCCTAATGAATTTTAGTTCTCCTAAGAACACTGCTTCTCCTACTGGGCGCCCTTTTCTTCCTCATACATCTCTTCCCCATCTATGTTGTTTTCCTAAATTATCTCCTCCAGAATTCTTCCTGGAACTGCAGACTCATATATTAGCCTATCTCAACTTGGGTACCTGAAAGTCAGAAAAAGCTTAAAATACCCAGAATCAAAGTCTGGACTTCCACTGTTCTACATCTCAAGTTAATGCAACTCCACCTTCCTAGCTGGCACAGCCCAACTCATGATACCATAATCCTGACTCCTTTCTTTCTCCTATAGTATCTGCATGCAATTCTTCCAAAATCCCCAACTATCTTCAAAATTCTATTCAGAATCTAACCATGTCTTTCCACCTCCAACAACTGGCTCTCCTGGACTTTTGCCACGCCCTTCTGAACACTTTCTGTTTCTAACTCTGTCTCTCTATAGCCTATTCTACCCAGCAACCAGGATTATCAAACTAAATCTTCAGATCACTGCACAGCCGTGCTCAAACTCTACCAAGGCTCCCACTGTACCCCAGCGAAGACAAATTCCTGAGTGTGGTCCATAAAGCCTCATATGATCTGGGGACCCCGAAACCTCCTAAAATAATCTCCTGCTGCTCCTTTTATGTGCCAAATATTGTCCCGTCTCAGGCTGTTTGCACTTACTATTATTCTCACTGTGGAATACTCTTATCTCAGATAACCATATGGCTCACTTAATCACATCTTCCAATATTGGAATATATGTATTCTTATCAACAAAGCCCTCCCTGATCACCTTAATACAAAAAAAAAATGTAAGTCCCTTGGCACTGCCTACCCTGCCATTCCAAATCCCACTCATCCTACCTGATTTTTCCCCCAAAATGCTTTTCCATCATTTAAAAGAGTGTGTGTCTGTGTATATGTGTATGTATGTGTGTGTTTTCCATATACACACATATATATTTCCTGTATGTCACCAGACCTTGAAAATAGAAACTCTGAGGCAGAAATGTTTGCTTTTTCCTCAGTATCTAGAATACCACATAGTGCTCTTAAAAAAGAACTCAGTAAGTATTGTTGAGTTAAATGAAGGAATAAAGGAAGGAAAGAAAAAAGGAAAAGATGGGAGGATGGCAGGATGGCTCCCTCATCAAACCCCCAAACATACCTAAGTGTTGAATCAGTGGCATGTGCTGCTGTTGTAGTGATGACTGGAGACTGAGCTCTGGTGGCTGAGACAGTCGCTACCACAGCAGGAGGAATGGTGTTAGAGGTGGTCACAGGTGGACGAGACTACCAAGAGAAGAGAAAAAAATATTTCATTTAAAACAAAAAGCAAAATAGAGTAAGCCAATCACTAGAAGTAAAATTTGAAAATTTGGGTCTTTGGAGAAGTATGTTAATGTCCAAATGATAATAAATTCTTGCCATTCTTAGTAAGGAATTCTCTTTTTTTGGATACGTTGTTTTAAAAACGAGAGTAAGAATTACTAAAAAAAATCTAATTTTGGATGAATAACACACAGGTCCCTTCTTTCCAAATATAACTGAATGCAAAATTGTATTCTACTGTTAGTACAAACTGGGATCTACCCATTCAGATTTAGAATTCCCACAGATAGGCTGCTGGTCCTGGTGAAGATATTTTATATTACCACACAACCAGTGTTTTAGACAGAGGGCCTACTCAGCCACTGCTACAGGTGTTAACTCTCAGGCCACCTAGGTCAGCATACTAAAGGCAAACACATGCTAATAGTATTCTTTGCTAACAGAAGACTAAGAGTGCCTGGGATGGTTTTCAGATGGAAATATTTCCCTTACCACTATAACTGTAAATCTTCACCTGACAAATGAATTTCACACTGGGGTTCACCTGCTTGTACACTGTCAATTCTTCTATTCATCTGAGTTCTTAGTAGTTCCTCTTTTCTGACCTTGTTACATGTGTTAAATCTGCAAACTCTGCCCATTCTTGATCTCTTTGTTTTTCACTTTTCAACCTCTTAAACCTATTGTGTCTACTGTTACAACTTATCTCACTCCAGGACTTTTGCACTATTTTCCCCACTACTGAGGCTCCTTGTCTTGGGGGGCCTAATCAGTTTCCAAATGTGTCGTGTTAGCCAGTAGGTGCTTTTGTTTTGTTTTATTTGGAAAGCTCTAGCTTGAACATGTACTACCCACTGTGCTAATCAGTACTTTCCTTTACTTAAACTCAGCTGTTTCATACATACATTTGGTCCCCAAAGGTATCTGCATTTCTACCTCCTACATGTAATTCAGCTCTTTCTCTGATCATACATTATTGCATTCAAAAACTTATTAGCTCTTTGCAATATACAAAATCAAGTTTACACTCCATATCTTAAGAGTTTTGAATTTATAGACACCATAATATCATTGAGTAATAACATTATACTTCAGTAGTACTGAGGCCAGAAATTTACCTGAAACAAAGTTGAAAGGCATGGACTGTCTTCCTCAAAGTATATATATGTGCATAAAATATTTAGGGGTTTATAAACCACTATCCAAATTAGAACCCCTCAGTTCAAACTAGCTTTTACTAAACACTATATATAACCATCACTGTCTCCCTTGCCACTGTTCAAAGTATTGGTCCCCTCACTACCTCTTCACTTTCTCTGAATCCCCATTACCATGCTCATCTTAACAAAAAGCCTTCCCTTACTACCTCTTCTAAATTCCTAGAGTGGATCACATGACACTGTATACAGTTCAACCTTCTCAACATCATACCAACCAGACTGAAAGTCACTTGAAGTCACAGGACTCTCACAGTGCCTATCAGAATGAATGACTAAGTAGGTACTTCGTCCTTACTGGCTGACTGCCCAGTAAATGCTAGACGTACCTGGATTGGCTGGTGAATAATGTGCTGGACTGCTGGCTGAGCTGTAGCAGCATTTGGCAACTGGGAAGTCGGTCTCAGGACTGTGGTTACTTTAGAACTAGACATCACAGCAGCAGCAGCTGCACCTGGAAAAATAATTTTTTCATTAGTACACTCAAAATTTAAATAGTTCTCATTACATTCCCTAGAAAAATGATCAGAATTTCTAAAACTCAATGTCAGTATTCAGTGGAAGTGTTTTTTGTGTATCTCCTAATTTCATCACATAGACTATTAAGAAAACGTGCACTGAAGGGTTGAGACTTATTAAGTTTATTTAGTCTGTACTGCTTCTTCAAAAATATCCAATAAAACTAGCTGTTTATATTTTTGTAACTGTAAGTATGTATCAGTGAAGCACACGATGAACAGCCCAGTGTGGTGTCGCTGTTCTGGTTCAGGCCGAGGCTCCAGCAGTTTAACTTCCAAACAGACAGTGAGAGCTCACTTGAACCACCACTGCCTCCATTTGTGCAAATGTCAACATTGTGAAAAAGGCAAAAGATGTCTCAGTATATATAAAAAATGGTTTTCCTCTCACACAAACCTCTTCTGTCCGTGAACCTCACTGTGAGACCAAGTAAACCTGGTTTTGTATTTGCTAATCTGATTTTATAAGTGATGATTTTATACTCTCCACTAGAAGGTAACAATTTTTGACCAAGTACTTGAGAAAACTTGTTAAACTTAATACCTCACAGCCTATTAGAACTTAGTTGTAAGAAAAAACTTATCTTACTGCTATGTGAGTGAAAACATTTTGAGTAGCTGTTAACACTTAACTTTAAACATATTGAGTATTAATAGCTGCAGCTTATTTATTAAAAATGAAGACAGCTCTGGGTGGTGTTAGGGGGTAAAGAGATCAAGCAAAACAGAGAAAGAACTCATGGATATGGACAACAGTGTGATAATTGGGGGGTGGAGGGGGAAATAGGTGGAGGTAAGAGGGTACAGGGAGATAAATGGTAATGGAAAAAAGTACAATAAAAAAATTTTTTTAGATGAAGACCATGTTTAGGCTATCATAGCCTTGAGGAGTTCCTCATTAAAAAAGGAAAACTTTTAGACACACTAGAACTTTGAACTGCTTTCAGTTTACACACATACATGTGAACTTGTTGTACAGTGCTAAAAATGTACAGTGTTCTTATTTCTGCTGTCCTTCAACTTTAATAAGTAGATTCTGGATATATTTTGTATAACTCTATCTTCTGCCAAATGTATATTGCATCTCAAGAGTTTGACAAAATGTGTAGTCTTTACCTCGAGGTAAATGAGAAGCTCCAATGTGAAGAGGAGGCCCAGGAGCACTGCTGCGGATAATAGACATCTGTACATTTGTAGTCATGATATGATGCAGGTTACTGGGATGGCCCTGCAACAAACAGGATGCAATATTGTCTTTTGTGCTTAGTCTTAGCCACCAGTGCTTAGATGCTACTTCTAGAAGTCAGCTGCCTCCAAATGTGGGTCGGGTTGTTTCTTTCAGATGAATAACCCAAGGGAAAGGACATTTAGCCTTTCTTACACAGCATAATACATGATGATCTGTGCCAGCAAGCATATGGGAAGTGACTGACGACATATCAACTAGCTAGATGCTAGATCCCTGTAACATGGCACAACTGACTATCCACTTTCAGGTACTGTCATCTTCAATATTAGTCTACCTGTTCTCTATCTTGGCCAAAAGCTTACTTTTTTTCCTATTCTCACTATTTCCTTTGCATGCCACTGCAGTCTTCCATTACTTTTTTTTTCCCCTCCCTCTCATCCAAGGATTTTTTTTTTAAGGAGGAAGGGAGGGACACATCAGTGTGAGAGGGAAACATTGATTGGTTACCTCCTGTGCCAGTCCCAATCAGCAACTGAACCCATAACCCAGGCATGAATGCAGATTGGGAATCAAACCCACAACCTTTCAGTTTACAGGATGATGCTCCAACCAGAATTTTGAACCTATAACCAAGCCCAACTGGACTCAAACTTTAAGGACATGGACTTTCTTACCCAGATTTCTATCTCACACAGAGGATAGTTCCTCATACACAGCAGACCCTCAATACCTACTGGCTAAATGACAAAGACCACTGAGCATATTGGTTTTACTTCCTGTCCTCTCTCAAATTTACTGTCTTACCCTTGCATATATAAATGATAAGAATGGTGATTTAATTTATTTAGTATGTAAGAGGGGTCAGGTCAAACTGCTGAGAGAGAAGGCAGGGAGCAGGGAGAAAACCCCAAGGCAAAATTGAAGGTTAGAATAGGCTTGCTCTCCCTATGAAGGGAGGGGCTGCTGGAGAAGGGAGCTTGTACTGAACATGTGTGACAGGAGACTTTGCCCCCCTGCTAAACATGGCGGCCAGAAGAGGAGCAAAGCCAAACAGGGCCAACACTAGCCCTCATTGATTGGAAAGCTGGACACTCCCATTGGCTTTTTGAATACAGAAGATTCTGAAAGAAGACTTATTTTTTTAATTTTTTAATAAAGATTTTATTTATTTATTTTTAGAGAGAGGGGAAGAGAAGGAGAAAGAGAGGGAGAGAAGTATCAATGTGTGGTTGCCTCTCCAGGTGTGCCTCCCACTGGACACCTGGCCTGCAACCTAGGCATGATCCCTGAATGGGAATCAAACCAGTGACCCTTTGGTTTGCAGCCTGCACTCAATCCACTCAGCTACACCAGCAAGGGCTCTGATAGGAGATTTTTAAATAGAGCACACCAGGAAGGAAAAAGTTGGTTGGTTTGTCTTTCCTCTCTCCCACTGGTGGGAGGGCATATCAATGGTTGCCAGTGTGGGTCTGTGAGGGGAGGCACAGATTCCAAAAGATTTCTGGAACTAGACAGTGACTGGAGACCAGCTAAGCCACCTACATTTGTGATACTTTGGGGTGGGAAAAGAGGTTCTTGTTGCAACCTGAACTGAGCTGGCAGAGACCTTCATGGTAAGAGTTGGCATTGTGAACAGATTTTTGTTCTTGTGTTACTTTCAGTTCTTGAACTTATGTAGTAGTTATAACAAATATTTAAATCACTATTTTTGATGTCATACTTTTTCTTTCCCCTTTTATTACCCAAATATTTTAGGAAGAATCTTGCCATTATTTCAAATTATACGATTGGTAAATAAAAGATTCCTTTCTTTTTCACCCAACTTTGTCTTTGGAGATTTGCCTGCTAGGTGGTGAGTGGTAGGATCTGCCCCCACTAGATGGGTTGGGTAACAAGTACAGTGCCTAATGTACTGCTGGCATTCAATAAATAACAACAGTTTAGCAACTCAGTTTGAAAATCAGCAAATTGAGAGAGAAAAAAAAAAACCTGTTGTCCACTGATTGTTGCCACAGGAATGGCTGAAGCTTGAGGGATGCTACTCTCCATGGTAACGGTAACCTGCCCTGGAACCTTGGGGGAAAGTGACAAGGTAGAAGGTGGAGCAGGAGCAATGGGACGGCTAGGCATGGTGGGCTTCGGAGGCGGCTGCAAACAGAAAACCACATGAAACATAGCAATAGCTTTTCACCAGTGATGCATTTTATTCTGAAGTTAAAAGTACGCAAACCAACCCAGGAGAGTGCCAGGAAAGATGTCAGAAGCCTTATTTGTTTCATCCCTCATCACCACAGCTTTTCCGTTGAAGTATCAGCACAGATGAAAAATGCAAAACAAGTCCAAGTCACCTACTCAAAGCCACACAAACAGTAACAACTAGAACTAAGAATAAAGCTCAGATCTGTATGCCTCACAAGCAACATTCTTCTATATAATGCTGCCTCTCCAAAATTTGGGCAGAAGTAAAAAAATCTCCCAATAACTGAAATATAACCACAGGTAATACACAAGGCAATAATCGAAAATACCCCAAATCAGTAAACCGTTAAAATAAAACCTTGGAGAAGAGTACCATCCCAAGATAAAAACTGAGTCAGCAGGCTCATTACTTTATCAATGCTAAATGGCTATTAGAAAAGACCCTGTGATTACCAACTGCCCAGCAGCATAAGACTAGGCACTGCAGAATGGCAGACCTCTGAATTACAGAGAAGAGCTTGAACTGACAGATCAAAACAAAAGAAACTAGGATACTAGGATACAGCCTAAGACTTTGTGAAAATTGTCAGAAATATTACAGCCAGTCTTTAGCTGTAGTTCAATGTGAATTTTAAACCTCTCCATTACCTTCATAAGTCCCTCCGAAAATGAGAGTGGCACTGCAGGTGTCAGATGTGCTGGTGAGGCTGTCACGGCAACAGGGGTGCCCGATGCAACAGCATGGTGTGTAGACAACATCTGCACCTGTGGATAAGGCCTTACAACAACAGGCTCTTGCTTCTCTTCACGAGACTGGAGGGAGCTGCTGGAACCAATGTGCTCCCTGGCAGTAACTTCAACATCCCGACTAGGTTCATCATTGACTAGTGAAGACATTAAGGGTAAAAGAGCATGTCATATCCTTCCAATATTAATTAACAACACATACAAGAGTAGCATTTGCAGCTAAGTTACAGAGTAACTTAGCTGACCATTTCCTTGCGAGATTTTCTTAACAGAGAATTTAGGCATTAGATTCCCCTGATGGATATCAAATCCAAGAGTCACACCTGTGAAATGCAGAATCCGTTTTAGATACTGCAGCTTTCCCTTTCCTTTAAATAAAGGACCTGACAACTATCTAAAATGAACTCAAATTGAAAGTGAAATACAAGATATAAGACAATTTCATTTGAAATATATATTTAAAAGGTTATAAAAAAACTAACATTAAAAAGATAATCTAAATATAGTTCTTAAGTCTAAGAACATATTTTTTAAAACAAATTTTAGTCCAAATCCTTATTGGGTGAACAAGGCAATTACTATCATTATTAAAAAGCACACACCCTTTGAGGTTCAACAATTCCACTTCTATGGGTGTATACCATAGATAAATAGCATATGTGTAAAATGACTTATGTACAAGGTTTTTGTTTCAACATTTTTATACCAGTAAAAAAACTGAAAGAACCTACATGTCCATCAACAGAAGAGCATTATACATTATGGTATATTCCCACAATAGACTACCATGCAAGTACAAAAATAAAACAAGAAAATCTTTTAGGTATTCTTATTGAAAAATTTGTAACATATATTATGAAAAATACAAGTTAAAAAAAGCAAGATAGATAACAGCAAAAAAGTAAATAACATATACATATACGTACTTATATTTGTATATGGATAATATATCTCCAAAAGTATCCTGCTTGCCTGAGGGAAAGAAAGTGAAAGACTGGGAGACAGGGATGAGAGAGAGACTTCTCACTATATATTCTTTTCATAGCTTATTTAAAAATTAAGGCCCTTGCTAGTATGGCTCAGTGGATGGAGTGCCAGCCTGTGAACCAAAGGGTCGCCGGTTTGATTCCCAGTCAGGGCACATGACTGGGTTGCTGGCCAGGCCCCCAGTAGGGAACACATGAGAGGCAATCACACACTGATGTTTCTCTCCTCTCTTTATCCTTCCCTTCCCCTCGCTCTAAAAATAAATAAAATCTTTAAACAAATTCATTTTCATTACTAGTAAACAGAATTCACTTTTGTATATTAAACCATTATCCTGCAACCATTACTAATTTCATTTATTATAACAGCTTTTTATAAACATTCTTCAGGATGTTCTACACACATGAACATGTTGTTTATGAATAAAAAGTTTTACATCTGTTTTTCCATTATCAATTCATTTTTAGCCATTCCCCAAACAGATTTTCCCCTAATTATAATTTTAACGGAAATGAAGATTTCATAACTTTCCCCCAAATCTATTTGTTCAGGAAGATTTTGATTTTTGACAATTTCATTAAGTTATTGTATAATGCAGTGCCCTAGCCAGGCACTGTTGTTTGGAGTGTCATCCCATACACCAAAATGATTACAGGTTCAATTCCTGGCCAGGGCACATACCTAGATTGCAGGTTCAATTTCTATTTGGGGTGCAAGTAAGAAGCAACCAATCGATATTTCTCTCTCAGACTGATGTTTCTTTCTCTTTCTCTGTTTCTCTCTCAGACTGATGTTTCTTTCTCTTTCTCTCTCTCTCTCTCTCCCCCCTTTCATTTATCCCCTTCCTCTCTCAAATCAATAAACAGGTTCTTTCTGCACACACCCAGGCACAGCAGAGGGAGCTACAAGCTATGGGTCACTAATAACTCCAAAAAGGTTGCCCACCAGCAGTCACAGGCAGCATTTGACATAAGTCTGCTCCAGAGATTTTGCCAATCCACATAATACAAACAAATACAAAACGGTAGCCAAAATGGGAAAACAAAGAAACAGCCCCCAAATAAAAGAATAAGAGAATTCTCTGGAAGTAGAACAAAATGAAATAGAGGCAAGCGATTTATGAGATACACAGTTTAGAGTAATGATTATGAGGCTACTTGACAGCATGAAAAAGACATAGGAACAAGAAAAAAAGGACCAGACAGAAATAAAGAATATAATATCTGAAATAAATAATACACTGGATGTAATTAAGAATAGTTAGATAATGCAGAGGAATGAATCAGCAATTTGGAGACAAAGTTAAAAAAAACCCAAGCAGAGCATCAAAAAGAAAAAAAGAATTTTAAAAAATGAGGAGTTTAAGAAACATTTGGGACAACATAAAGGATAACAACATCTGCATCATGGAAATACCAGAGGGGAAGAGTGAGCAAGGGATCAAGAACCTATCTGAAGAAATAATGACCGAAAACTTCCCTAACTTGGCGAAGGAAAAAGACACACAAGTCCAGGAAGTGCAGAGTGTCTCAAAGAGGCCCACACCAAGATACATCATAATTAAAATGGCAAAGTTTGCTCTAGCTGGTATAGCTCAGTGGATTGAGAGTGGGCCTGTGAACCAGAAGCACGTGGTTTGATTCCCAGTCAGGGCACATGCCTGGGTTGCAGGCCAGTTCCCAGCAGGGGACGCACAAGAGGCAACCATACAATGATATTTCTCTCCATCTCTCCTTCCCTTCCCCTCTATAGATAAATAAATAAAACCTTTTAAAAAATGGAAAAGTTTAAAGATAAGGAGAGAATTTTAAAAGTCACAAGAGAGAAAAGTTAGTTATCTACAAAGTAGCTCTCATCAGACTGTCTTTGATTTATTAGGAGACACATTTCAGGATAGAAGGGATTATATATGAAGGTGATGAAAAGCAAAGACCTACAACCAAGGCTGCTTTACCCAGCAAGTCTAACATTTAAAATTGAAGAAGTAAAGAGCATCTCAGACAAAAAAAAACCTGAAGGAGTTTGTTACCACCACAGTATTGCAACAAATGTTAAAGAACTTGCTTTAAGAAGGAAATAGTTAAAAATAAAATGATAATAAATATGTATCTATCAATAATCACTTTAAATGTAAAGGCTTAAATGTGCCATCAAAAGACCTAGAAGGTAGTTGAATAAATAAGAAAACAAGACCCATATATATCCTGTCTCTACAAGACCCACCTCAGAACAAAAAATACACACAGACTAAAAAGGGATGGATAAAGATAGTTCATGCAAATGGAAAAGGAAAAAAAGCTGGGGTAGCAATACTTGTATCTGACAAAATATACTTCAAAATCAAAGTTATATTAAGAGACAAAAGAAAAAATAAACTGGGGGAATGGGACTACATCAAACTAAAGTTTTTGCACTGCAAAGGAAACCAACAAAATAAGAAGACAACCTGCTGAATAGGGTAATATAATCATTAATAAGTGGTTAATATGCAAAATTTATAAAGAACTTATAACTCAACTTAAAACTCAACATCAAAAATACAAACAATCCTATGAAAAAATGAGCAAAGGATCTGAATAGACACTTATCCAAAGAGGACATCTGAACATACAGGTGGCCAATAGGTATATGAAAAGATGCTCAACATCAATGAAAATTAATACCACAATGGGATACTGCCTCACACCAGTCAGAATGGCTATCATCAGTAAACCAACAAATAACAAATGCTGGCAAGGATGCAGTAAAAGGGGAACCCTTGTGCATTGTTGGTGAGAATGGAGATTGGTGCAGCCATTGTGGAATGCAGTATGGAGGTACTTCAAAAAATAGTAAATGGAACATCCTTATGACTCAGCAATTCCACTTCTGGGAAGTATTCAAAGAAACCCAAAACACTAATTTAAAAGTACATATGCACCCATATATTTGCTGCAGTGCTATTTATCATGGCCAAGATATCGAAGTAATCCAACTGTCCAATGAGTAGATGAGTGGATAAAACTATGGGACATTTGCACAATGGAACACAACTCAGCCATAAAATAAAGATGAAAATTTTACCCTTTGCAACAGCATGGATGGATGTGGAGAACACTATGAGAAATGAAATAAGCCAGTTAGCGAAAGACAAATATCATATGATTTCACTCATATGTGGAGTCTATGAATACACTGAACTAACAAATAGAAACAGACTCATAGAGTAGGTGGAGAGCTCTGGGCAGGGCGGTGCAGGGATAAGTGGTACAGGGATTGAGCAAAAAGGAAAAAGGACTTATGGACAACAGTATAGTGACTGTGGAGGGGTGGAGTGTATAAGGGGGATAAATGCTAAGGGAAGAAATATAATAAAAATAACAAAAAACTTTCTCCAAAATAATAAATAAAATCAATAAACATATCCTCTGTGGGGATTTAAAAAAAATCATATAATGTACTATGTCCCATTAAGCTGCTCTTGAGACCATTTATTATTTCCTTCCAGACATCTGGAGTTCTCAGTTTATTTTTTACCATAAAAGAGTCCTGAAATAGAGAGTTGTTGTAATCTTTACTTCTCAACTCAGATCATGTATTTGAAGTCCTGATATGCTCAAGCTCCTAAACTACTTCTTCTGATAAGAGCAATAGAAAGTATTGTTTACAGGGGCTTTTTAAAAAAAATAGTAACTGAGGAGAAACACTGTATCAGAAGTGTAATTATAGACAATTTTGGTCTTAGTTAATGATTTTCTTCTCAACAAAATTTGAGGGCAATTATTGCGACCACCTTTAAAATAAGCAATATAATTCCTTATAAAGAGGAGATGTTCAAAAATATTCTTCTTAGCTATGCTCTTTTTAAATTATTCTGTTGTGAATTTATACCAAGGCAAAATAGTGTCAAAATTATTTTAGGAGTAATGTACTTTTAAGTGGCTTTACAAGAACATGTTGACCACTACTTTGTGCCCTGCGCTACAGCAAGTATAAAACATACAAAGTGTGTAAGACAGACATGATCCTGGCTTTCATTCTACGATGTCCTACCCTTGATTGTGGATGATGAGTGTCAGTAAAGGCTTCGTAGAGAAGTGACTTCTGACTCAAAACCTCAAGAATAACAGGAATTACCCAGATGATTGAGTGTGGAAAAGTAGAAGGAAGATTGTGGCAAAAGGAATGGAATGTATATATAAATTCTCAAGGTCAAGAGAGGTGAGTACTTTTCATCATGGCTTCAGAAATTATGAGTAGCTATTATTATGCAGGAGGCATAGAGTAGCTTAAAGTTATTTCAAGACTAAACATAACTGAAATACATTTATAACAAAAACTGAGTTGGCAGAAGGGAAGAAAAGCAATGGAAAATGAGGCTGCAACATTAGAAAAAGGGTCACAGCTCACAAGCAAGAGACAAACAGAGGGTAATTAATGATGATGCCTGAGTTCCTGGTTTGGGCAATGAGTATACAGTGTTACCATTTACCATGATAATGAATATAGCAATATGATAGTAAAGAAAGAAAAGAGAGCACTTTTTTCCACTTTGCAGTGTTTTGTTTTTGTTTTTGGATATGTAGAGAGAATGAAACCATTCAGAGTTCTTCCGACTTCATCGTTAATCCAACTGGATTCTTTGTTGTGAGGAACTCTCCTGCATATTGTAGGTAGGACGTTTAGCAGCTTCCCTGGTCTCTAAAGCAAGTGCTATGCCTTACACACCATTGGGCTCTTATTAACATATCTCTGAACCTTAACTAAATGAGAAGACATTAATACATTAAAAAAATAATTCTCGTAGGCATGCTTTACTTTAACTTTCATTTACACTTGTCATCATTTCATGTGAATGAAATTATTAAAACAGGAAAAGAGTGTTCTTTAAACTTAAACAAAAATTATAATATATCCTTTCTTTAAATTTGATAACCTAGTATTTATTAAAATCCCAGAAGGAATTTGCTAATTAGAAAACTGGCAATATTCTTAAATAAGGAAGCAACACAGAAGAATATCACAGATCTCACCTGCAGCTGCTGGGTTTATCAATCCTGCAGAACCACTGTTTGCAATCTGTGAAGTAGCCTGGCTTAGCCCAGTGGAAGGAGTTCCTAACCGAGGAAACTGTTGAGAATTCATTTCCACCTGCAATGCATATAATCATAGAGTTATTACTGGATTCTGAGATTAGAATCTATAATGGAAAATTAAAGCATCTTTAGTACTTCTATTTTTCCTCAGAAACAAAAAGCAGTATCATGTATTTAAATTACTGGTGATCAATATTCAGTGCACAAATGATCTCAATTTTGTAGTTTCTGGAAGTACGTAAGTTCAATTAACAGTAAAAATCGTTTATTTGGTGTTGGGGGATACTGACCCTCCATAACTACTGGTGGGTTGCCACACCAGAAGTCAACATTGAATCCTGTACAACAGCTAGAATACATGAACACAATAAGTACATACTTGTATAAAACTTTATGAAAAATTTTCAAATCTCTTTGAAAAGCTTAACCCTCACTCCAGGGTGAAGAGCCCTGTCATCAGTATGTCTTAGGAGGAATCAGAAGAGAGATGTCCTGTGCTAAGAATCAGAAACCTTACATTAAAAATCCAAAAGGAATTCTCAAATCCTTTTTTTCTGCACAGGTCTCCATTATGGATTCCCTTCCCCTCCTTTCAGAGCCCCACTGAGCCAAAGGGACCCGAGACCTTCACCGCTTTCTCTTAAATAGACCCCTACTTTCCCCTCTAAGCACAGCCCCATTCGTGTCCACAGCGTGGACCCCACGCTGAACCCCCACGTGAACCCCACCCCACAGCGTGTAGGTCCCCCCCCCCCCCCCCCCCGCCAACTAAGATCGGAAAATAGGTTTCCAGTCACCTCGGGTCTGAGAGTACGTCTGGGGGCGGGGAAGGGGCGTTCTTGGGAGCCGCAGAACAAACTGTGGGCCTCCTTACCTGCCGCCAACGCCCGCCGTTCCCCTCTCGCCCGGCTGGAGGTGCCACGGCGGGCGCATCTCGGTGGCGGCGGGGGATTCCGGAAGTACAGGACCAGAGTCGGAGAGCGACTCAGTTCATCCTTTCGCCAGCTCACCTGGGTACCCCTAGACCCTGCTGGGTACGAACCTGCCTCTACTTCCCCCACCCGCCCATTAGCCCCTCGACGGGCGCATCGCTGCATCACTCGAAGACTAGCCCCAATCCGCCTCAACCTGCGCGCCCTGATCCCGCCCCACCCTCCTGCTGACTGCCAGCCAAACATGCGCGAACCTCACCGTGACAGTTCCAACCCTCTCGGGATGGAGCCAATAGCAGTGAAAGAGTAACGTTCCAAGAGGATGGGCGGAGAACCAGCAGGCTCCGCCTCCGTCGGGGTCTAAAAGATGCGGGTGCAGGGCCCGGATGTGGAGAGTCACTTTAAACTGCTTACAGAACCAAACTCTCTCGTCTGCCTGCCTCCCGCCCGGGCCGCTCCGCTTCCCCACGAAGGCCTACACTTTATTGAATCAACCTAGCGTCTCTCCCTTCCTTGCTGCAGGACACCTGGCCGCTGCCGCCAGCCCAAATGCCGTCCCCAGCTCGCCAAGGAGCCTGTATCTGAGGCGCGGAAGATGTGGCACAGCCGGTCCTTCCCTGGGTACACACAGCGGGAGGGTCCTAGCAGCCCGACTCCACCGCCCCGCCCCCCTGGTCTCCTCCCCTCCACTCCCTGGGTCTGTCCCGCCATTACCTGGGCGCTGCACCGAATGGCACTCGCGCCGCTTCGAGCTCGTTTCCGTGCGCTCTCAGCCTGTGAGGCCAACGTTCTCGGACACGGACCCCTGCTGCTGCCGCTGCCGCCACCACCACCCGGCTGCGACCACTGTGCTCTGGACTCAGCCCAGCGCCGCGGCTTCCGCCGCCGTAACGAGCCCCTCCTCTATTGGCTGGGGCAAACCCCGCCCTCCTCCGGAAAGCCAGTCACCGCCAGTGTAAGGAGGAGAGCGGATGGGTCGGTCCCTCGGAGCCGCGGAGGTCCGCAGGAAATGTAGTCCCGGACGCTTGGAGGCAGGCTTGGGCGGGGCTTTCTGGCGAGTCCGCGAGGCGTCTTCCGCTGTGCTGTTGAGACGCAGCTCTCTTTTACCCTCGCGCTGTAAAAAGACTGGGTCACGCCCCTTTGCTTCAGCTAAACTTTCATTTTAGCTGAAAGCTAAAGCTTTCATTTTCCCGATGGAAGTACGGCGCGGAAATAGGGTAATGGAGACCTGCTGTACCAGGCGAAGAGGTCGTACAGGTGAAAGATTTCCCGACGAGGCTTCTTGCTTCCCCGCGCTGCAAGTGGGACTTGATATCGTCACCGAAGGGCGCAGAAGGCAAAGCCCGAGCCTTGTGGGAGGACCGGGGCGTCGATCTGGGGAAACTGCCGAGTTTGCGAGCCCCAGAACCGAGCACCCCCGGTTAAAGCAGGCCAGCTCTGAGACGGGTTCCTGGCACTGGATTTGGGCCCTGTGGACCTGCTCAATTTTTCCAGATTACAAAAAAGCGAACGGGGATGTTGTTGTTTTGTTGAGAAAGTAGGTAAGGAGTGGAAGGTCAGAATTTATACACTTGTAGAAGTCTTACCCAAAGCTGCTGGAGCAAAATTTGGGTTTGATAATAAACATATGTATCCTGCCCCCCTCCTCACACCCCTCCCGGGTGGTAATTTAGGCCTGGAGATTTGTGAGTAGTTAAGAAATAAACAGGGCTCAAATCTCTCCTTCATATGATAGAAAGCTGTGTAAGAACTACTTGCTAGGATGAGTATTAAATACCCTTTTCTCAAGACTTTTTCCTTTCTCACTTCCTTGTCAAATCCTCTAAAAGTACTGCTGTAATATACTTCAGCCTTCTGCCTCCTCTAGGCAGTCTCCACACTTGATGGATTCTGCTCTTGCCATAGAAATTTGCTGGTGACTTACACAACTTCCCCCAGTGGTCCTTCATTTGTTCTCATCTTGTCTAGCTTATTGATAAGTCCTCCTTCAAACGTTCTTCCCTTGGCATCTATAACCACCTTCTTTCCTGGTTATACTAATCAATCTCCACTATACCCCCTGCTTCACAAATATTGTATAGCACTTGCTGAGGCTCCAACCCTCTTTTAATGCTATACTATCTTCCTAAACTGGTTAAATGTACTCTCAGTTTTAATTATTATTCTTGAAAGAATCAATTTTATCTGCATGGTAGCTAGCTCTCTTGGAGTGGTACACCTGCAGTTCTACCTACTATCATACTAGTCAACATAGATGCCTTACAAGCCCCTGAAATTTAACATTTTGAACATCTTTATTGATTTGCCTAATCTCTATTCCATCTGGTTTTTGAGTTTGGCTAATATCATCACCATCCTCTCTGCTTTTAGTTTTTCAAAAATACATATTTTATTGGTTATACTATTATAGTTGTCCCAGCTTTTCCTTGTGCTTGGACCTGTACCTCCTTCCTTCCACCAATCCCCTCCCTTAGTTCACATGCATGGGTCATGCATATAAGTTCTATGGCTACTCCATTTCCTACACTATACTTAACATCCTCCTGTCTATTTTGTACCTGCCAATTTGTGCTTAATCCCTGCACCTTTCTTCCCACCCCACCCCCATTCTCCCCCTTCCCCGTACCAGCTGATAACCCTCAAAATCATCTCCATATCTATAATTCTGTCCCTCTTGTGCTTGTTTGCTTAGTTTAGATTTAGTTGTTGATAGGATAGTTGTGAATTTGGTGCCATTTTAATGTTTATAGTTTGGATCTTCTTTTTATAGGTCACTTTAACATTTCATATAATAATGGTTTTGTGATGATGAACTCCTTTAGTTTTACGTTTTCTGGGAAGCACTTTATCTGCCCTTCCATTCTACAAGATAGCTTTGCTGGATAGAGTAATCGGTTGTAGGTCATGGCTTTTCATCACTTTGAATGCTTCTTGCCACTGCCTGTTAGCCTGCAAAATATCTTTTGAGAAATCATCTGACAGTCTTATGGGAACTCCCTTTTAGGTTACTCTCTGCTTTTTCTCTTGCTGCTTTTAAGATTCTCTCTATATCTTTAAACTTGGGAGTTTCAATTACAATATGTCTTGGTGTGGTCATCTTTGGGTCCAACTCGTTTGGGTCTCTCTGCGTTTTCTGGACTTGTATGTATTTTCTTCACAAAATTAGGGAAGTTTTCTTTTATTATTTTTTCAAATAAGTTTTCAATTTCTTGTTCTTTCTCTTTTCTCTCTAGTATCCCTATAATTCAGATATTGGTACATTTAAAGATGTCCCAGAGGTTCCTATGCCTATCCTCGTTTGTTTTTTTTTTATTCTTTTTTTTTCTTACTGTTGAATGTTTTTTCTTCCTTATGTTCCAAATCGTTGATTTGATTCTTAGCTTCACCCCCTCCACTATTGGTTCCCTATAGATTTTTCTTTATTTCAATTAATGCCACTTTCATTTTTGCCTGGGTCTTTTTTTTTTTTATGCTGTTGCGGCATAAAATGATTTCTGTGAGCACCCTGCTAACCAGTGTTTTGAACTTTGCATCTCTTAGGTTGCTTATGATTTCATTTAGTTCTTTTCCTGGAGTTTTGTTCTGTTCTTTCATGTGGGCCACGTTTCTTTATCTCCTCAATTTGGCATCCTCCCTGTGTTTGTTTCTGTGTTTAGGTAGAGCTGCTTTTACTTCCCGACTTAGTAGAGTGGCCTGTTGTAGAAAAGATACCTGTAAGTTGTGTGGTGCAGTCTTAGGTAATCACCAAGGTGGGCCAACCTCTTTCATTTCTTTGTGGCTCTGTGTGTCAGAGGCTCAGAGAGGGGACAGTGCAGCTGCCTGGCCTATGGAGACTGCCTGGGAGGAAGCTGTCTCTTGGCACTCACCCTATCTCCAGGCACTTCACTTTCTCCCCTTCTTCACATGACACTTGTACCCTTCCAGCTGTTGCCCTGGTGCTGAATCCTAGAGGCAGTGGGTCTGTGTAAGTCCTGAGACCTTTCCAGGCCCTTTTAAGAGAAATCTGAGAAACCTGCAGTTTCTTCCACTGTTCCAACCTCCACGGCTTTTTATAGCCAGAAGTAATGGAGACTTATCTTTCTGGTGCTGGAACCCTGGACTGGGTGGTCTAGTCTCGGGCTATGATCGCTTGCTCCTGAAGTATCCTTCATGATTTTATTCACCATGCATAAATGTGGGACTGTCCATTCCACCATGTGTCTGTGTCACTGGGTTTCTGCCCCTCTTATCCATCTGGATGAATGTGGCTTCTTTAAATCCTTGGTTGTTGGACTTCATACAACTTTATTTTCTGATAAAGCTGGGTGATATTTGTACTGTGTCTACTTGTAATTTTTGCTTAGTTGTGTGTGGAGATGAAGCATGTCTACCTATGCCTCCATCTTGACGGGAAGTCCACTTTTCTCTGCTTTTAGTTTTATTTTTGTTTCCACTCTTCCACATTCTAAAGTCAGCATGTATATCTCTCTATGCCCTTTCCAGTTTCTTCCATAGCCTTTGATCAGAATTTCATGATTTCTTGTATGAATTATAGTAGTGTTGCCACCACTTTCCACCCCAATCTGTCCTCTACAGATTTTCTAAAGTGTTAATCTGAGTGCTTCCCATGCACAGTGTTCTAATAATCTTACAATATACTTCAGACCTCTAACTGCAGTAATCAAAGGCCCTAATAATTTAGTCCCTCTGACTTCTCCACACATTGGATCCTCTTTTAACAATACTGCCACCAATTCTCCACAAGGTTTGGCTCCAGGGTTTTTGCCCAAGCCTGAAGTGCCTTCTATAGGCCTCAACCTTCAGCAATCACCTGGTGGAGTGCTACCAATTCCACAATGCCCACCTGGAAATTGGCAATCAATGGTCTTTGGTGACAATTCAGTGCCAACAGGAACTCCCAATTTGGGGTGTGGTGAAAAGGAAACTTTATTCAGTGCAAAACAGCTCAATTGTGACACAGCAGGACTGTGGAAACAGCATGGCTATAGAACAACTCTGGGACCAGGCACCCTGGGTCCAGGCCTTCTCCAGCTAGACAGCTCTGCTCCCTGCTGGTCTGTTCCTCTCTCATCCATTCTGTGCCAGTCTGCTCTGGTTTGGGCTAGTCTGCTCAAACAAAACATTTTAGGTATTTTAACTCAGC